CCCACGTTCCTGGGCGGTTCTCACCGCCCAGACCATCGACCGACACGAGCTGAGCAGTCAGAGACGGGGGTCCGCACTCCTCCCCTCGGACAGCGGTTAGATAGCTCAATAGCGCCTTAAAAAGGCGACATGATGATTGGTAACAATACCAAATTATAAACCATTTCATCATCATCCTCACGTCATTGCCTTTCCCCTTTTTAATTAGCTCGCCCTGAGTCAGATGAAGCTGTAAGAGTCGCATAGACAAACAGCGTTAACATCCAGAAACTAGACTATTCGATAAACTGAAGACATAAATTGTGGAAAAACGGCCACATTTGCACAAAAAGAAAATCCAGTTTCACCATGACAACGCGCCGTCTCACATCTCAGTGGTGTCCATGGCGAAAATCGAAATTAAGTGCATAACTATCCGCCTTATCACGAGATCTAGCCTAAGTGACTTTATGTTCCCTCATTGAACTAGAGAGTAATAGTTAAGTGTTAGGGCATAGTATTTCTTGCAAACTTGTGAAGCCTGTGTATGCTATTGTTTTTTATGTCAAGGATTTTTTTCATTTTTATTTTCCTTGGCCTAAGTGTTGGCTCATATCGCAGTTGTGACATTCGAGATAACTTATGGAATTTTGTCGGAACATCCAGCTTTCTTTTTTCGATGTAGACGATATTGTGCAATCACCACGATCACCCTAAAATAAATAATTTTATTTTAATCAGAAGATTCAAGCATATATATATATGTATATATGATAAAGCTAAAGATATTTATTTTGTAAAACATGAGTAAATAAAATACAAGTGTTAGAAAACTTAAAACGAGCTACATGTTTTGCCATTTAAGGCGTACAAAAATTATACTACATTAAGTTTACAATTACAATAATAGGTATATAAATATATGAATTAAATTTGATAGGTTAATGCTTTTGTAAACTTAATAAAATATTTTCAAGTAGAATAATATTGGTGTCAAAGGTAATAATAAAAATATTTAATCTAAATATAATTACAGCCAAACATTACCTCACGCATATATTGTGCCGCCTAAGAGGATCTCTTGGAAATCTGTAAAAACAAACCAGTAATAGAAAAATTTACTACTTTTTGTAATACTTTATTATAAAATCTAAATATAAACTACAAACCGGTTCGGCAGACAAACCCGCATGGTTAATTAAGTTAGCGATAGCTAAAGTTGCGGCGTTCATCACTATAGTGCAATACTTTCGGTTGTAGTGATACCAGTTTATTTTTATAAAAATTGCACACTTTTGCTGCGAGGTAGCAAGTTTTGATTTGACTTATTTGGCCTGTATTTTGTATAATACTTTAATACTTAACGATTATATTTAATTATATAATATTCAGTATCGTGTTGAAATTGAGCTGAATATATAAATCATTTAACAAAATCCACTACATATGTATATGTAATGATTATTATTCATCACAAACTGATTTAGTTATTAGGAAATATATTTTCGTTAGTATATTATATAACTTGTGTAGTAAATTATATTTATTTAAAAATAGATTATTTTTCACTTTATGAACTATGATGGCCACACTCGGTGTTGGACGATAATATTCACAAAGTACGAGTTTTAATGATAAAATTACTTTAATATTATGTTAAAAATACTCCCACATGAAAAGTCACATTGTCCTTTTGTATACTTGACGTTTTTGATTGTTTTTTTCATGTAAATACACTGCAATTCGGCATTTTGTAGGAGCTCGATTTACTGGCACGATCACTTCGGAATGACGCACGACGCGGAGCAACTAGTTTTATATAACGAGTATGACTCGGACTATCGTACCTTTTACAGAGGGGTATGCCTTGCGATGCTGTCTCCTTTGGTTTAATACTCAAAGCAGGCGTGATTTTTACTGACAGCTGTCGCAGAGATAAAGCTATGTTTTATGAACCATAGTTGATAGTTGAATGTTCAAAGCATGGAGGTTAGAGAGAAGGAGAACCTGAAAGTGACTTATTGAGACAACTTAGCGATCGCAGCGCCTCACTTATTTTTTCCATATTTCTGGGACACTATTTTCTACAGCGATCGTTCTCCTTCTCCAACCTCCATAGTTCAAAGCATGGAGGCATGGAGTGTAGAGGTAAAGATAACCGTCTCTGTATTAAAAAGTGTCCGTAGGAAAGAGCTAAATAAGGGTGGTGCCACTGTAGCTAGAGAGTAAATATTAAAGAACTTTTTATTGCACACTCATCATAATTCTTTTTTTATAATAATTATTTTATTGTTTTCAAAACTTATCTTTTTTATAACCGGCTTAAAATACTGCAGTTTCATCAACTTCTCTAGTCACCTCAAATATTAAATTCCTCGACTCAGTTCACTCCGTCGACAACTGCAAAGTTCATTTCATACCCTGTAGCTACTCCAGCGCTGTTGTGGAGAGTTTTTGAACTGTTATTTACTGCTTACAGATGAACACTTTTTCAACTATTCTCCTACGTGAGATGGTTCTCTTTTTAATATAATCCTAATATAGATTACATGTAATTCTTATTGAAAGTCATTTTTTACTTTACCACTGGTTCGAAAAAAAACATTTTTTTACAATATGAATGGTTACAGGATATTATTTACAAAATTTATTTTAGAAACAGCAAAATGGTGGTGGTGCTGGTGTATGTTTTATTTGCTTGTATGTAGTTAGGGCTGGTTTATGCTTTCTTTTCAGATGAGTTGTAAACGTTTGAATGAATTTGAAATAGAGCATGTCCTTGAAGGCCTGTTTGATTTACCTGACGATCCAGAACTATCTGAAGACGATTTCGAATCGGAAGGTGAAGAAGTTCAGTTTAGTACAACCCGACTTCAGAGCATTTTAGAGAGTTGACGAGGGTACTAGAACTACTGCACCTTTACTAGAGAGCCAGCCTAGCCCATAAGCCTATAACCTTCTGTGACGGAAACTGACCGTCTCTCCTTGTCAATAATTCAGGAAATTGAAACTAGCAGCCCAATTTCTGGATGTTCCGGCCCAAGGCGGGCAACTCGACCACCTAGTAGTCCTGTCACATGAGCAATCCCAACCTCTCAGCCTGTTTCTGAAAATATTCAGAATCTGACACGAATCAATCCGAAGCCGACGAAGACATATGGAGAAAAGTCATGTGGACAAATCGACCAAAACCTGAAATTTTTGACTAAAACCCATTGTGATTTCTTATATTTACGCGAACATTGCACATGATTAAAACTACTTTTACGGATTTTATCGCGTTTATTTTTACTTTTTATTTTTAATTCCCGACGTTTCGGGCGCTTTGCAGCACCCATGGTCACGGGGGGGACTGAGATGACTGACGTCCCGATGTCATTGTTAAACCCGGAGAACCTTCAGCTTTTTTAATTATGTGATCATATCCTAGATGGCCCCAACCATTACATCAGATTTGATAGACCACAAATCCTCGCGAAAGAACACCGATTCCTACCAAGGATGATACGTGAGGCTATTGAAATTAAAAAACATTCTAATTTCAATAGAGAAGGAGGCTGGGTACTACCACCTGCTTGGGATCCTATAATCAATAAAATTAAAACTAAACCCAAGCATACCACTGCAAGACCTCAGGACATAGTCAGTTCATTTTGCATAGATCGGACCATAAACAATAATTAAAAAAGCTGAAGGTTCTCCGGGTTTAACAATGACATCGGGACGTCAGTCATCTCAGTCCCCCCCGTGACCATGGGTGCTGTAAAGCACCCGAAACGTCGGGAATTAAAAATAAAAAGTAAAAATAAACGCGATAAAATCCGTAAAAGTAGTTTTAATCATGTAAAACCCATTGTACCCAAAACCCCGAGTCACAAATAAAACAAGACCACAGCGCCTTTTTGAGTCTTTTTAGGTTAAAGGTCTTTTTAGGTATTACAATAATAATGGGCTACTACATTTTACCATCAATAGAGTTATAGTCTTCTGACCCGGGCTTCAGAATGAACGAAATAGCAAATATAATGCTAATAAAACGGTTCAAATTTTTTTTACAATGCCTTCATCTAAATGACAACACGAAGCAATCTGAGAGGAACAGCCCTGACTACGACAAATTATTCAAATTAAGTCCATTTAATGACTATGATAAACGAAGCTTGCGAAAATAACGCTGAGGAGTCTTCTTCTCAAAGTATTGATGATACTTTTTAAAGGCTGCTCATCGCTAAAACATATTACATAGCTGTAGTCCCTACTGTATGGCAGTAAAATTTTTTAATAACCTTCCAAATGACATAAAAAATTTAACGAGTACTACATTATTGTTATCCGTATTTAAGTAATATATCATTGAAAAATGTTTCTATAATTTAAATGAATATTTTAATACAAATATTATTTAATTTGTGTGGACAACTTCGGCCTGTGCCTATCTAATTTTTTTTTTCAATTATTATTTTTACTTAATTTTATTTTTATTTATAATAATAATTATTATTTTTTTACTTGACATTGTGATTATTAATTTAATTAAATTTACAAAATTTTAAAATAATATCTAATAATGTAATTTATTAATGAAATCTAATATTGTAGTTTAAAATAATATTTAATATTTTTATAATTGCTACGCTCAAACTGGGTTCAAATGCGGTCTATTTTTTTTAAAGCATCACATCTATTGTTACCATTTGATTGTAATAAAGATTATGATTATGATAAAACAGTATAATACGCCGCTGAAATCTGTGAAGCGCGGCTACAAGGTTTGGTGTTGATGTGACAGTCAGCCTTGATACCTTTATGAGTTTGATGTTTACACTGCTAAAACTGGAAATTCTGTAGAAGAACGACTAAGAGCTAATGTGGTAAAGAGCTTGACTGAAACAATTATAGCTAAAGAATCAGAGAATGTGCATGTCACATTCGACAACCTTTTTTGTGATTATAGAATACTGGAATACTTATATCAAAATGACATTTATGCCACTGGTACAGTGCGCAGGCATAGAGCTGATATGCCGCTTCTTATAAAAGGTTCAAGGGGTAAGGAATTGAAGCTGCAGAATGGCGAGTTCAAGTGGAGAGTCAAGAATAATGTTTGTTTTGTTGCATGGCAAGACAACAAAGAAGCACTTCTGATGTCCAACGACTTCCACTCGAAAGTTGGTCAAACCACAGTAACAATAACCCAGAAAAATGGCTCCAAAATATCGGTAAAATGCCCCCTCGTCACCAAAGAATACACGCAGAGAATGGATCAAATCTATTTAGATTTGATTAACTGAAGGGCACCTACACTGTCGGACGAAGGAGCAAGAAGTGGTGGCTCTGAATTTTTTACTTTTTGATGGACGTCAGCATAACCATTGCGTTTATTCTAAGCAATAAAAACGGCATAAAACTGTCGAATTTGGAATTGCAAGTAGTATTAGCAAAAGGACTTGTTTGTGGCTACAGCGGCGTTACACAAATGTGGGAGACCACATGCCATGCACACTTTTTTTTTACGCCCGAAGCAAATAAGGGCAACCCTCCGGTAACGGGGGAGGGAGGTGGAGAATGCTCTAGCATACCACGCAGCCGGTTGCGTGGTTATGTGGAGACTTTTACCCACTAAACTCCACATTTTTGGGATTGGCTTATCGATCTGACGAGAGATCTTTAAGCCGTAAACGGACGAGACCCTCCTTGGCAGAAAGGAGGGCGCACGCATGCCCACTCTCAACCACATATAACTATATACTAGTCAGAGACTCAACTTACAAACGATGAACTTTCGTATACAAACGCCTTTGTAGCACGAAAGCGAACGACAAGCGTTCAAAAAGAATGTGCCAATAGTGTGAAGTACCAATTAATTGCCCTACTTTAACGTATGGTTGTGAAAGTTGGGTGTGGCAGAAGAAGCACGAGAGTAGAATAAACGCAGTAGAAGTGCGGTCGTTAAGGAGTATGTTAGGGCTGAATCTGAATGACAGGGTGAGAAATTGTGTGATAAGAGAAGAGTGTGGTATGCAAGATGATGTTGTGACCAGGATTAAGAAAGGATAGCTTCGGTGGTTTGGTCATGTAGAAAGAATGAATGAGGAAAGAGTGACAAAGAAAATGTATGTTGCAGAAGTGAATGGCAGAGTCGGAAAGGGTCGTCCTAGGCGAAAATTTATCGACCAAATTAGCGATTTATTGAAAACGGGCAAAATTAGCAGTAGATACCCTTAACCGACGATTATGTATGCGAGAGAGGTGTGTCAGGATCGTGCCAAATGGAAGTCTGTAGCCTCTGCCTACCCCTCTGGGTGATAGGCGTGAGTGTTTATGGATGGATGGCAAGTTTCTTCTATTTATCATCGGTAATTTCGTGTGCTGAAAATTGCATTGCATTTTCAATTTCAGTATAGTGTAGTCCCGACAAGCGGATCAAACTCTGGTTTAAAACGTAGTGAGTTGTGATTATATATTCTTTGTTCTCTTTCCTCATTTTAATTTAAGAAATTTACTATTGTGCTGTTTTTGGAGCAATAAATCGAAAAACAAAACATGTTTCCGTATCCGGCAAAATACGTTTGAAAATAATTTTAAATATTCGAAGTTCAGGACATTTAACGAACGTAAAACGCCTCTAGTGCTTAATAAGCTTTGCAGCGACTTACATAGTATACTGAAGTTGGACGGCTGGTACACGTCACGTTTGCTTTTAGCGTCTTCGCAAACAAAGGATAGGTTATAAATTCTTAACTCTGTTGACTCTGGTAGGATTACTCTGCATGTGTAAAATAATTTGTATACACAGAACAGGTCCATGTCTGTTTATACAGAATAGTGATGTACATTGACATACTGTATGTAAGAAATAAATAAACGAATAATTAATTGAAACTAATTAAGTTTTGTTAGTAAAAATGATAATATATTTTTTAAATGGCGACAAAGAACAGTAGATCAATAATTCGTCTACCCCAAGCGAAGACAGTCAGGTATTAATCCTGCCTACTAGACGAGGTCTGTGCACAGCAATGCACTGAGTAAATCATTTACAGAAGCTTTCTTAGTCCTCTTTCGATCGAACCACTTACTATAAAATACTTTTTATAATTAACTAGCAGTCCGCCACGACTTCACACGGGTGATTTCTGGAATTCGACGACAGCGAAGCCTACCGGGTCTAATTTTGAATCCAAACAATCCAGGGACCAACTCAAACACACAAAAATTTCATCAAAATCTGTCGAGCCATTTTCGAATTTTAGCGAGAATAAGGGACAGCAATAGATTTTTATATATAGAGATTACATAATAATAATATGTAATATTCCTTAGGGTCAGCTCATACAGAGTCGCTAGCAGCGCATTAGTAGTAGAGATAAGTCGCCACGACGGCTTTAGGCTGCGCCTCGCGGCGTCTCTCTACGTCACGCGGCTTCGCGCTATGCCGCGAGGCATCTCAAGGTGCAGCGCGATGCCACTGGGCATCATTTTCGAATTATATTTCAATAACGCAATGAGTTGCGGCACAGAGATCCGCAGTTTTGAATCCCGCACGGAACGAGTATTTGTATGTAAAAAAAAAGTTAAAATTACTGCTTAAATACGTCCCAATACTGAGCACAGGCCTCCTCTTATTTGTGAAAGGGTTTTCCATCACTGCCGAGCTTGTGGTAAATCGGCACTTAAAATTGCAAGTAATAATTTAATTGGTGTCGGCGGGTATCGAACTCGCGGTTTGTATGGCCTACAAATAATTGTTGTAATGTCATAAACCAGGGTGGTTGTTTGCAGTCGTGAAATTTATGTAAGTACGTAAACTGCCTCCACAATACCTACAAGAAAAAATTCTAGTGTTGACAGGTAAAGTTATTAAAAATAAAAAGAAAAAAGGAAAGAAAAAGAAAAAATATCGGCCCTATGAGCCAATTTGTGGGGAAGCCTATGTCCAACAGTGGATTCAGACTATAATGTACGAATGATAAACGAGTCGATAATAACCTGCAGTTATCTTCTGGTCGGAACTAGGAATAATCTTCTAATCGGGTTTACATTTCAATAACCTCACACACCATGAAAGGAATCAATGTTTTTCGGTGCATCAAATTCTGATTTGATGGCGGTTATCCTGAATATAATGTTCACAGACTGTAAGCTTTCTGAAGTTTCAATGATAAACAAAGAGCATATTATCATGCACTAAGATGTTTAAAGAGTTCTTTGTTGAGGAGTGTCGATATGTAACATCGTAGGTTGTTGGTTGTTGTTGCTGTTGTTGGTGGTGTCGATTTTTAACAACTAAGGGACAGGACATCTTTAGGATAGGATCTATTTTTATAGAATTAGGGTGAAGAACGAGCACACAGTCCACTTGATGGTAAGTGATTGCTGTGGCCCGTAGACATCTACATTTACTCGATTAAGAATCAAAACGCAGATGCGTTGTCACCCCTGATGACTAAGATGGAATGCCTCGTTTTCAGTTACAAAAGGTCTCCGGATCTCTACACTCACCATACGAAACACAGCAGCATTAAGCTATTATTTTACGCTGGTATTCTGTGAGAGCGTGGTCCTTCCCCGGTCGACCGACTTTTCTCTCCCCAAAAAAAACAAGAAATATAAAATTTAAAAAATAAAAGGTCGGCTCGACCGGGGAAGGACCACGCTCTCACAGAATACCAGCGTCGAATAGTAGCTTAATGCTGCTGTGTTTCGTATGGTGAGTGTAGAGAACCGGTGACCCTTTTTACTGGAAACGAATCATTTCATCTTAGTCCTCACGGGTGACAACGCATCTGCATTTTGATTCTTAATCGAGGATAAATGTAGATGTCTATAGGCCACAGCAACCACTTACCATCAGGTGGACTGTGTGCTCGTTTGTCACCCTATCCTATAAAAAAAGCACGGTCCTGAGCCACCTGCATCCATCGACTTCCTGCATGTCTTACCAGGTCGTCACTCCATCTAGTGGGGGGTCGTCCTACACTTCGCCTACCGGTACGAGGGTGCCACTCGAGAACCTTTTTTCCCCAACGGTTATCGGTTCTTCGAGCTATATGGCCGGCCCATTGCCACTTCAGCTTACTAATCCGTTGGGCTATGTTGGTCACTCTGGTTCCACTGCGGATATCCTCATTTCTAAGTTTATCATGCAGAGAAACCCCGAGCATAGCCCTCTCCATGGCTTGTTGAGTGACTTTGAGCGGTCTCATACGGCCAGCAGTGAAGAACCACGTCTCGGTTCCGTAGGTCATCACTGGCAACACGCACTGGTTGTACACTTTAGTTTTCAGGTTTTGAGGTATACCTGACGAAAAGATGTGTCGTAATTTCCCGAACGCTGCCCAGCCGAGTTGAATCCGTCGATTGACCTTTCTCGGTCGAAGTTGGACTTACCTAATTGGAATATTTGTCCCAGGTAAACGTACTTGTCAACAACTTCGAGCTTAGTGCTCCCAACAACTACGGGCATAGGTGTGACATGGACATTAAACATGATCTTTGTTTTGTCCATGTTGGAACGAAGTTCCTTATCGCGCGTTACGAAAGGGGGCTAGACGGAAAAAATTAAGACTTAGATATTAAAATACATAATAAATTTAAAAGCAAAAATACAAAACGAATATAAATAATATATATATATATATATATATATATATATATGTTTCTACAAAAAAATGTGTATAATAATATATCCGTCCTATTCTTAACTACACCCACAGAAATGTCGCATCTGAACATATTAATTTCATAATCTATATTCCATGACACGAGATATAATTTGTTTTATTATTAATCTATAATACTTTTTTATTGATTAAGTATTTCATTAACCGATGAAAAGTAATTCCTTGGTTTTTACTGGCATTTCTTGAATTAATTGTGCAATATCTAAAATACACACGACAGCATAATATTTTTATCAAGAGATTTTTTTAAATCAACACAACACGTGACAACTCTACAAGCGCCTAGCGAGTGACTGCTTGCACCGCTGTTGAGTGGAACATAGTAGCTGAATGCAGTGTCGCCTCTAGTACATAGTACGTAATAGCTCAATGGTGACAAAATACTTTTTTTACGAGAAGAACTTCACCTATATGTCAACTAGCATCTGGTGAGCGAAAGATTATTTAGCCCTCATTACAGGTTGCGAGATATTACGTGTCTCACAGGTGACAATGCATCCATAACCTTCTTTATTTGAAGTTCAAATAAATTTGAAGTTGGTTGCAGAGGTCCATGGGCTGCAGTAGCAGTAGACACTTACCATCAGATGTCTGTACAGTAAGTTTCT